ATTGCATTATATAAGTTTTTTTTTGCAATTTTATGCTGAGGATATTCTTGAACAAGCAGTTTGTATTGCTGTCCAGCGCCTAAATTTTCATTTGTTGTATAGATCTATAATTTGTTGTGGAAGTCGTAGGTTTTTTGGCAAAAATTCAATAGTTTTAGGATTACATTGATGGTTATGCTCCTGTATGAACTTGGTAAGACGTATAAGATTCGTAGTTTTACCGAGATAAAAACTAACTTGTCATGGACAATCGGTTTTGTATGATGTACATTCTCGATGTAAACTAATATCCTCAACCTTCTTTGATTGATGAGTTCTGGATTTCCAGCAAATATAGCTGCAGCGTTGAATGATAGATTTACCATCAATGAGATCAACATCCTTACGACCTTTATTAACCACAAACCCATTTTACTTTGCATACGAATCAATGATCACTTGGACTGATTCCCAATCATTGAATAAATCGCCGATATTTAATGTAACTTCATTTATGTTGACTATCTCATTATCCGTATCACTTTCTTCCGTCACGTTATCGAAGTGTAGAGGCATAACTATTTCATTATCCATTAAGAAAACAATATGGGAATATGGGTAGAAAAGGCTATTTACTACTTTTCGACAAGGAATATGTCTTAACTAATAGGTGACCTAATAGAACAGTCACAAAATATAGCAGTCACCAAACAGAACAGTTGGAGTGTCCTTATGCAACTTGATAGCCTGATAAAAATGGTCGGGCTTGAACTATCAGACAGAGGTAAAAGAAAAAAAATGTGGTAGCGTCGTGGGTATATGACAGAATACAAGCCGCAGTGATACAATAAGCGATACAATATAATACGAAGCTACTATTGTTTAAACGAAGTGAAGCGCAGCAACTTTTTATCTTTATGATGTAATACTCATCAGATATTCACGTAAACGGGTAAACTATGACGCGATTTACACAATGTTTAAATACTAATTAGAAAACTGCTAACCGCATAAATATAGATTAAACAAATAAATACAGGGCTAATAATTTATTAATAAAAATAATAAACACGTAACACTGGTGGTGAACACCAATGGTTTTTCGTAGTAATTTTTTTTATTTTTTTTTAGATTATATTTGACATCACACATATTTACAAAAATATGTTTCTGCTATACAAACTAATTACCGAGTTTGATGATTTTTATCTCTACTACGCAAATACATATCTGACTATATTAAAATTTTATTATCTATTACGCAAAATTTTAGGTGACTTAATCAAAAATTTTCTATATTCAATAAGCAATCTCAAATCTAACATACATATATTGTTCAGGTCCTGTAGATTTGTTATATATAATTAATATATGTTATTTTTCATTTACATTTAAAATAGATTCTTCTAAAACTTTTATATCATCATTTAATAGCTTTGACATCTATTTTTCCATTTCAAAAATTTTATTAAAAAAATATTTTCTATATTAAATTATATTAGGACTTTCATGACTATCATAATAAATATTTTTTTTCTCAACACAAAATTCCCATTCAAAATATTTTAATCAAGCATAAGCTATATTTTCTGAAATTGTTTTTTTCTTTCAATTCCCATACTTGAAAATATTTCTTGCTCAATATAAATTTTAAATTTGCTTACTGTCACATTATAACTAATACTCTAAAATATTCTGTAATCATTTGATAAATATTTTTATTACCTAATAAACTTTTTATTTTTTACGCATTGATATTGGAATTTGATAATAAATAATAAAATTTTAGGTTTATGATCTAATAAGCTAGACTTGATAATCTTCTTTTCCAATGCTAACCACAAGATTTTTACTTGCATCCATACTTTTAAAATTTTTTAATCATAAGTTAATATATTGCATTATAAGTTGTAATCTGTTTTTAACTTGTAATTCTAAGAATTTTTTAGCAATTAGTCTTTTTATATCCTCTAATACTAATTTAAAACCTTTTTGTTCTTGATCTTTTTCAAGTTGTTTTAACTTATCCATAAGTTCTTTTGTAGATTGATGCAATATTTGTTAATGCGATTGAAGTGTAAGAAAAAAGATATTAAGTTTGAAAATCCTAGCTGTTGTAATTTTATTTAGCGAAATTTTGTGTCTTTATGTTCTTTCTGAATTTTTAATATAAACTAATAGATGATTATTTGTAAATGCTGATAAGTTTTTTGCATTTTCAATCATAACATTAAAAATTGTTTGTAAAATTTGGTTCAAACTATCTTCAAGTTCATTATCATACCAATTATCATCAGAATTATGATAATCTGACAATTCATTATTATTATCACTGTTTATAATTGATAACTAAGTTTCATTAGTTGCATTTCTTGCTTTAATATTTTGAGTTGCTACAAGTTGAGCCTTTTATTTCTTTGGTGACATTTTTAATTTAAAAAAAAAAAATGATGATAATCTTTAAATACTAATGATTATAGATTATTACAAATAAATATATAAATTTGATAAATATTTTCACACTAAATTAAAATATGATCGATTAAAATTCTTTAATTCTAGTCAATTTGTAATTTTAGAATCAGCAAATTTTATATTAAACTTAATGAAATTACTAAAATATAAACTTATATCCCTTAAACTGTAGAGCAGGCAAATTTGCCTGTGAACATATAAAAAAAGTATTAATTTTTTAATAAAAAA